TAGAGTTCGGTCGCCTGTATATAGGCGTCCGCCTCCATCAGAGCTTCTTGGAGGGTAGCAACCCTCTTTCTGACGAGGTCAACCTTAAAGGCCGATCCGTCCTTCAGACCTTTGGAGAAGTCTGTATAGGCCACTTTATTAGACAGCCCTTGAACCTGAATTCTCATCAGATTGAACCGCCTAACATAGGACCTTAGCCCTTCTCTATCTCCCTGTTGTATTGCACCCAAGTCAAGACTTGTTTTCTTTGCAGGAATGTTCATAGAGAAGTTAGAAGCGAACAAGTACGCAAGCGTCTTGAAGCTATTGATGCATCTGGTAGGCAGGTTGCCAAACCATCATTGGGCGACGCCCTTCAATGTGGTCGGGAAAAATCGGCACCAGGCAGCATCATCCAACCCCTGTAAGTACACAAGGTTGGTGTATGCCATTAGGTGATCTTCTGGGTTAGTGGTACCATCATAGGTACCTACCAGAACATTTTTAACCTTGGCCGGCCGTGCCGCTTCGATTATTTCATTGGAGAACACAGAAGGTTGTTCCCCAAGTTTTAGCAGACGGAGCTGCCAGTCCAAAGGTTGGACATTCTGTGTCGCTTGACCCCCAAAGACGATCGGCTGCATGTATGGTTGACCATACGACATGTATGGCTGTTGAGGCACATACAGAGCCGAATGGATTATCTAAGGGCTAGTGTGGACGGACAAGTCGCCTGACTTACTCTCCCGGTTCGATTGCGAATACCTCATTGAGTTATTCTGAAAGTTATCTGAGTAATTCGACGTTGAAGCCAACTTAGACAATTTTTGACTTTTCATCATAATATGTCTTTTTTGAGCCATCCGACCGAACATGCAGGATGGCCTTCCTCTTCCATGTTTCAGGAAATCGGATCTTGGAAAAGTCAATCAAGGGCTGGTTCTCCTCCTTTGATTTAGGATGGGGAGTGGGCACTCGGTCCTTGACTGGCTTTTTATTTTTGGCCGACTGACCTCTACTTGAGCCAACCATCTTCTTGTTGATCAAGTCTTTGATTTTCCCCTTGAAACTTGTCATCAATTCCATGAGTTCGTTTTGAGTAATAGGGGTTGTGCTTTCTACCGCCTGGTGATGTCCAAACGGCTGTTTAATTGGCTCGCTTAGACCAACTTGATCTTTTCCCCATTCCCTTATTTCTAAAGGACGGGTGTGCCTGGTTTTGAGTGAACCGTCAACAGCTACATAGGTTTTGACTTCAAAGTCGTCATTAGTGTCATGGTTCGAATAGACCTCAAAGTCGTCCATAGGTCGTTTCTCATTATGAGGCGGTATAGTTTCTTGTGAAACCATCTTAGAAGTACTCTCCCCACAGATGGCGCCAAATGTTTTGGGGTTTTTATGTGTCCTGTGGGAGAGTTACAATTCCAAGATTGGACTCCGGATGCCTGTACCTGCAAAATAACGACGACTCCGGTTGGTTGGAGTCCGCCTCTGATGATCAAGTTAGAATGTGTTCGGAAGATAAAAAGTGCAGAATGTAAAGTGGGATCAGGTCTCTCTATGGCAAGAAATGATCATCCAGCTATCACAGACGGCCTCAATATCTGAGTATTTACTCTCGTGGGTAATTAATTCTATAATTAGTGCTCTCGTTCCCCAAGTGGGAACATCTCCTTTTTATAGGGTCTCGAAATGCATGCCCATCCTAGGTTAAGAGACCTAGGACTAACAGGTTGTATTGGGATTTAGGCCTTGAAGGTCGCCAAGCTCTTACTGAATATTTGTCTGCCACATGTCGAGCCCCGGTAAGTCCACTTTACGCTCTCCTTAGGGTGACACGTGGCGGACTTAGATTGGCCCACGTGTCGGACTCTAATTGGTCCACGTGGTGAGGTAAAAATCCCCTAATCAAGAACTAAGAACCGATCTTAGCCGTTGATTGCGCTCCATCTGATGGCTCACATTTCACCCGCCCTCATTAATGGCATTTTTGTAATTTTGTAGTTTTTAATCCTTTTTTTTTATTTTTTTTAACTTTTAAGACAACTTTATTTACTATGATTGATTTCATTTACTTTTACTAATTTTTCATTTACTTTGTAGAAATAAAATTGGAAACTACTTTATAAAGTTGAAATATTACGAAAATGCCATTAATGGCACAGAAAGCATTTGGCCTATCCGATTAACATGATTTGATTGTAATGCCCCGTATTTTTATACGTATTTTGATTTAAATAAGTATTTCCTAAAGTATTTAAATAATTCGAAATGAATTATTTATGGTATTTTTATTAATTTAAAAAGAATTATTTTAATTAAAAGTTTATTTTTAATTATTTAATAATCTTTAAATATTTTATTTAACGATTTAAGAATATTGGGGCATATTATTTTATAAAAAGATAAATTTTAAAGTCAATGATATTTATGGAAAGTCAAAATACAAGTTTGACTAGGAAAGAGATCATTAAGGGTGGTAAAGGAATTTTAAGTAGGAGGGATTGAGAGGGGGTAGAAATACCCATCATATGCCTAAGGTGGAGTGCACCCAAAGGTAAACTCTCTCTCTCTCTCCTCTTATTTTCTTTTCTCCTTAATTTTTTCTTTCCCCTTAATTTTATTTATTCTACTTTTAATCACCACCCACACACCACCACACACTGTCGGCGTCGTCACCACACAACACACACGGCTGGCGGCCACCACCACCGGCACACCAGTAGCGGCGGCCACCAGACGGCCGTGTGGCAGCCGCCCAACCATGGTGGTCGTGCGCCACGCTTTTTTTTTTTTTAAAAAAAAAACCTTCTTTTGATTTTTAATTAACTCTACCTAAATTAAATTATTGTTTTTGGGTTTTGTGATGATTTTAGGATGTTTAATAATAAGTATTTTGTATATAAATTTTCAGATTTGATTTTGAATTAAAAAGCCCCAAATTGTAAACCCTAGGTTTCTAAATTAATGTTTATTGATGGGATTTGATTGTAGGTGATTTAAATTATTGAAATAGGTGTTTTAAAACATAATTACAACAGTTTAGGATGTTTTAATAATGCTGGAATTTTTATATATAAGCTATAATTAAGTTTCTTGGAAGGATTTTTAATTACCCATTAATTGGGAATAAAAGTAAGGGTTTTAAATTAAATTTCAGAATATTTTAGAGGGTTTATGAGTGATTTAAAGAGAGTATATATTGCTGGAAATTTGTGTGAAAGAGGTATTAATACTTCTTTGTAATTTTGGTTTGTAGGAGACTTCCAAGTGAGTGATTTTATTTAGTCATGGCGATTTTGAGATCATATTCAAGGTACGTTCGCGTACTTGGTAATTACTTGAATATGTAGAAGCATGCTAGGCTTTGTTTAATTAATTCCAAGTAGTATCATGATAGGTGTTGGTTGGAATTTGTTGATTGGATTGATGTTGGTGAATGATTTGTGATGAATTGGTGATTGGAATTGATTATGTTGGCATGTTGAATATGAACCACACTTTTATTATTGGCATGATTGAGAGCATGTTTAATTAAACTAAGTGTTTAATTTCGTTTGGAATATTGTAAAGGAATTTTATTATGGTTCATATAATTTTTATTGATGCTATAAGCATGAGGAAGGAGCTATTTAAGTGTCTATGTACACGAGGATTAAATTATTTTATTGGTGCCTAAGTGCACTTAACACTAGTAGAATAAATGAATTAGGCACCGCACTTTTCGCGCCGGTTCTTGAAAACTGGTGGTAAAAGAAATGGGCGGGATTGGAAAAATGACTTTTCGCACCGGTTCCTATTAAACCGGTGCGAATTACAAACGAGAAAAAAAAGGGGAGAAAGGGATTTAGCACCGGTTCAAACCAAATCGGTTTTGGAAAAGAACCGGTGCTAAAAGTTTTTTTTTAAAAAACTTTTTGGGGACTTTTGGCATTGGTTCTAAGGCAAAATCGGGGTGAAAAGTGTGGTTTTTAGCACCGGTTTTCACCCAAAACCGGTGCCAAAAGTCTGATTTCGCACCGGTGCGAAATGTCTGGGGTTTTAGCACCCACCAAATCAGGACCGGTTCAAAACCGGTGCTAAATGGAGGTTTTGAATCGGTGCGGATTACGTGTTTTCACCTAGTATAAAGTGTTTTAAACATCGAGAGATAGGATTTGGGGAGCATTATGCGTTTAAGGTGTCTCTGACACTGAGGTAGATTAAAAAGGGTTCAACATTAAATTTATGTGGTTACTAATTATTCAAGAACTTAAATTGGTATGTTTGAATGCTTGAATAAATTATAGTGTTTGATTTGTGTTGTGTTTTAGAGTCATCACCAAGTCTAATAATTTGTAAATAACGTAAAGTGAAAGAGATTACGCACCAAAACTTTTGGAACGTATATACCTTGAGTATGAACATATGGGGGGAGGTATGCGACTTTATATTTGACCATAATTTCTACTGGAGTACATGACGCTTTATTTTCCTTTTTATTCTGCGTAGGAATTCCGCCACTTACAAGTGGTTTAATTTATTTTATACTTTCACGGTTAGCTCCCATGTTAGTACCCCTTTATTGGGGCAGGTTAAAGGGAAACCCGTTCGATGCATAATCAAATTTAAATGAACATTGGTATTTGTCTAGTTAGGTGTTGGGTGTCTTGTATGCTTGTAAACAAGTGCAACACGGTGAGTTGTGTGATGATAGGATGAAAGCATGTTAGTATGTGTTTTTATTACGTTTATGTACTCATCTTTGCTGATTGTGTGTTTACATGTTTGTTTGGCCTTGTCTTTGCCTCGGCCCTACGACGACCCATTTCTAATGACGAGTAGTGGGGACAAGTAGAGAGAAACTTTTCAAGTGATAAAGCATATTCATGAAGGGCATGAGTGAAGAACGAATCATGCTTAGTTCTCATAGGATTGTGATGTGTTTTATTTGCTTTATGTATTATTTGTTTTTATTGATCATGAGACTAACGCAAAGGTTTTCAGTATTGTTTGGTTTTAAGGGCCTACGATCACTAGTAGAAAATAGGTAATGGAAAGCCACTAATTGGAAGCGGTTATAGAAATCCGCTTCCAATTCCATACAAAAACCCGACAAAAAAAAAAAAAGCAAAAGAGAATTGGAAGCGGTTTGGAGTGAATCTCTTCTAAAAAATAATTGGAAGCGGTTTGGAGTGAACCGCTTCCAAAAAGTAATTGGAAGCTGTTCAAATCGCTTCCCTTAAAAAAAAACCGACTTCTTTCCTATACATACAAGCCCATCATATTTTCTCTCTCCTCTCCATTTTGCCTCACGCCCCTCATATTTTCTCACTCCTCCTCTCCATTTTCTCACTTTCATCTCACCTCCTTCAGCATCTCTTGCTCCTTCCTCCTCTCCATTCTCTTTCTCTCTCCTCCTCTTCATCTCCTTCACGCAACACCAACAACAACGCAAGTGATTGCGGTTCACCAACAACAACAACACCACCGAGCAGACCCACGACCCCACCACCGAGCAACAACAACGCAACACCAACAACACCGACGAGGCAAAGAACCAACGACGAGGCGAAGAACCACCGACACCGACGAACCGTTTTTCAAATCGAATTATATTTAAAGTAAGAATTTAGATCTAGTTTTTTTTTCCAATTTCATCTTTTATATGAATTTTTGAACTATTAGGTTAAGTTAGATTGCTTTAAATTGGTTAGATTTATGGTTTATTTGCATTTTTTTAGTTGAAATTTGGTTAGGGTTTGTAAATTTATTGATGTGTTAATGAATTTTTTTTAATTTATTTGCATAATTAGTAAACTTTTTGATTTAATTTTTTTTAAAAGGTTGTCCGTTGCAGTGGTGGTGGCAGAATGACAATGGTTGCGGTGGCGGTGGCAGGATGACGGTGGTTTCAGTGGTATTCACTAGGTTTTTTTTTTTTTTTTTTTTTTTTTAATGTTGTTCGTTGAGGTAGTGGTGGTTGAATGGTGGTGGTTGCGGTGGCAGAATAGCTCTGGTTTCGGTGGTGTGTACTTTGTAGTAGCTTTAATTTTTTTTAATTAAAATGTATTTTTTTTTTACGGGAATTAGAATGTAATTTTACAAGTAATTATGAATGAAATTTTATATTTTGCTACATATGTTTCATTTTTTTTTATCAAATTCTTATTTTTTGTGATTTTTTGTTTTTATTTTTGTTTTTATTTTTTATTTTTATAATATGAAGGCATAATTGGAAGCGGTTCAGGCATTGAACCGCTTCTCATTCCCTTCAAATGGGAAGCGGTTCAAACCGCTTCCAATTTCAATTGGCAATGGGAAGCCCCCTAATTGGAAGCGGTTCAAAAACCACTTCCCATTACGGTTTTGAACGCTTCCTATTTAGTTTATTCTACTAGTGGATGGTTCCAAGTTGTAGGTTGACCACTGTGTGAGTCTTTGATATTTGCCTTAGCCGTTTTCACGGTGGCGGTAATGTCTTAGATTTTCCTTCTTCGTACTTTGAAAGGGCAAAATTTGGTATTTTAAGGAAAGCAATTTCTAGGGTGTTACACTGAGGGCCTAGATTAGTTCCTAGTTCTCATTATAACTTCATTAATAATTACTTCTTTTTAATGTTCAACTATTGAGTAGCCCGGGCGTTGTCCCAGGTTACTACTTTTATAGTTGTGCAACTGCTAATTTATAAGAGCATCTAATAGTTTGTATGTTTTATGTGCCTTCAATACTTTGTAGTATAATATTATTTATTGTGCGATGTTAAAACATAATTAACAATTAGCCTAGATGGTTATACAATAACTTTTCTTCTAAGAGGTCAAGTGTTCGAACCTTCTCATCCATATATTTTTTTTCAATATAGTTGAGACAACATGGAGTATTGTTGGTTGTGTGGATGACTTGGCCTATTAAGGAGTTGAGTGGATGACATGACATATTGAGGAGTTGAGTAAGTGATGTGGCAAAATGAGGGGGTCTATGTGGCGCATAGACGTTCTTAGAAACGCCTTTTAATATATTTGTATAGATGTGCTATGTTATTTAATTTTATCTTTCAAATACTTGTATCGCCAAATGGACCAAAAATAAGGCCTATAAGATACACTAGCACAAGAATTTACTATTCAAGTTAAGCTATTAACATTGGCTTCTCATTATACTTACGGGTTAGCAATCAATAACATAATACAACAACAAACACCAAGAATGACACGTGTCACTTCTTGATGTTATTTTTTTCCCTCCAAAACTTTTTTTTTTATTCACTTCCTAAAAAAAAATCCTTTTCTTTATATAATGTGATTCACTTCCTTAAAAAAAACATTCACCAAATCATTTAATTGTGATTCACTTCCTAAAGAAATATTTTCCATATCTTTTATTGTATCAAAATATTATTCTATTTTTTTGGTGTTCCACCCAATTCACCCTTTGGGCTAATTTGAGTTCGCGCGAGGTTCAATTCTGGATATAAGTTAAGATTCAAACTTTTTTAATTTGATTTTGAATTAACATTATACTCTGTAATTCGTTATAAAATTTTGTAAAAACCACGCATGGCACGGAACTTATTCTAGTTTTAGTTTAATACGAGCCACCAAAATAATATGGCAAACACAACGGAATGTTAGTATGTTATGCTTGAGAAATGCAACTATTCAAGATGGCTTACTAATATTGCCTTCCCATTATACTTCCGAGCTAGAAAGCAAAGTCTTATATGGGCCACCAACCTTATTCGATAAACACGTTTTTGGTTTTCGAATCATCATTTTTTTCCCCTTTCCTCAATCATTAAAAATTATTCATAAATTCTCGTTTATATATAACTATTTACAAAAACCACAAGTCAATGTACCAAAATATACGATCTCTAGATGTTTAATAACCGACTAAGCATAAGCTTACACGCGAAGTGTGCACGACTCCCTCTCAAATCTCCAATAAACATACAAAGTAGTAGTGTTTTAGGTCTATGGTTATTCTATCAAATTTTTTTTATTGAGGATCATCCCCATATAAACAAAATAAATAAATAAAATATTTTTAAAATACTGTGATATAGATCTATTTAGTTGAGGTAAAAGCTACTCTAATTTTTGAGAAATAAAAGCTACTTTAATAGAGAATTGAAAAGAAAAAAAAATTAAAATAAAAATAAAAATAAAAATAAAAAGAAGAAGAAGATCAAAAACTGTGATATAGATCTCTACTTTTAAAGTAAAGAATTAGTATTTGACATTATAGGTAAATAGAAAATCATCAAAATAAGATAAAGTATACTCCGTACGTTTAATCTTCAATGAATGGAGTTTCTAGTATTAATAAGTTGGAAAAGTTTCACAATCTAATATATATATATATATATATATATATATATATATATATATATATATATATATATATACACACATATATATATATACATATATATATATATGGGAGTTTTTTCCCGAATTTTTAGAGTGCCACGTAGGATTTTAATTTTTAAAAATTATTAGAGTACCACGTAGGATTAACATTTTTAAATTTCTACAATAGGATTATGCCATGTAAGATTAGTTTTTTTAAAGCGCTACATATATTGGATTATAAAAAAAATAAAAAATTATCAGATCGACACATAAAATTATTATTTTTAAAAATTATCATGAATAAAATTTGGGTGATAAATGGAACCAGCATTATGATAAATTTACATAAAGGAGACCTTTTCAAGATAATTCTGAGTATGACATAGGAAAATGTTATATTTTAGCCAATGAATAAAATAATTGCAATTTATTTTAGATCTAATTTTTTTTATTAATTATTAAAATAAAATCAGTGGTTTTCTGTGTGGCAGACCATATCGTGTGGCTGGATGAGACACGCCAAAACACTGATCAAGTAACCCCTGACTGACCGAGTCACCCCTGATCGATCGAGTAACCCTTGACCAACCGAGTAACCACTAACCAAGTAATCCCAACCACAAGGTGCGACCAACCACATATGAAACTAAGTAAAATAAAATACTACCTCCGTTTCATATTATTTGCAACTTTGGGGTATTATTTGTGAGATATAAAATATTCCAAAGTTGCAAATAATATGTAAAGGAGGTAGTATTATGAAGTAGACATAACCAAATCTATTTTAATCGTCAGTAAAAGTTATGAAGTAGCTAAACCTACCTCTAGCTTTTAAACTCATTTTCCCACATACATCTATATGTATAAGTGCCAAAAGGTCACTAGCTCTTTCACCTTTCCTATAAAAGGTGATTTGGTCATTTTTCTCAACAAGCATGACTCAAAATTCTCAAACGATTCATAATCTAATGAGGATAGGAGTCCATCCTTATGTAATCATTATATGCGCGTTTGGTTGATATAACCTACAATGTTATAGGTAGGTTGGGTTTGAACCATCTATAATTCGTCGCTTTTTGTGATCTATTTATTTCCATGTTGTAAAACAAAATTAACTCATAACTAGCAAATGAAAGACATTTTATTACCTCATCAAGGAACAACACTTGTCCATGATGAGTAAAGCCAAATTAGTATTTCCACAAAAACTGAAAATTGTCTCAATAAAATTAGAAATAGCAAGTCTAATGTTCAATAAAACTGAAATCAAACTAAGAAGCTTTCTCTAGCCACTAGAACACTTCTCGAGCACCTTCAAGCTCCATTTCCAAGTTAGCTTTACTTCTTTACAACCTTTGCAGAACATGAATAATGTTAGCACTGCAACTTGGTATCACATACCTAAGTAGAAGTTAAAATGTATTTATAGCATTATACCTGAGGCTAATGCTCTATTCTTCTTAAGGTAGTCGAGGTATTCTGGCAGTTAAGCTTCTAATGCCCCTTGTTCTTGTAGTAGAAGCATTCGCTTGCAACTCCTACCTTGGGCTTAAGAGTAGACTTGGGCTTTTCTAGAGCCTTGGCAATTTTCTTGCCCTTACTCTTCTTGCTAGCCTCTTTCTTGAACCCCTTTCCCTTTTGGACCATAAGAACATCCTTCTTATTGTTCTTAGGGATATGTTTTTCTGCACTAATCAGCATGGCATGCAACTCATTCAATGTCTTGTCAACCTCGGACATATTGAAGTTCATGATAAACTGATTGAAAGAATCTGAAAGTGAGAGGAGAATTATATCAGTAGCCATTTCCCGGCTGTATGGGTGTCCCAGTTTCTCCATATTTTTAATTAGGCCGATCATTTTGAAAACATGATCATGTACTGTTGCACCATTCTCCATCTTACAGTCCAAAACCTCTCGATGTAGCTCATACCTCTCAACTCATGCTTGTTTCTTAAACAAAGCTTTGAATTCTTGCATGATTAAATATGCATCCTTGTCTTCAAAACGCTTTTGAAGACCAGGCTCTATAATCGTGAGCATCAAGCAAGTGATTGGTACAACTCGATCAAGAGTCTCCTTATGCCTACGCTTTTAAGCATCAGTAGTGTTTTCTAGCAAAGGTCCAGACAATGGGGTATCTATTACTGCTGTCTTAATGGCGATGAAATTGCTTCGTTCGTTGGCTTCCTTGGTGCCGCCTCTTCTCTCGTTTTCTCTTGTATGTCAAACCCTTAAATTCTTGTTATTTTATTTGATTTTATGTAATATAATGCTTAATTTGTCTAGATCTAGGGTTTATTCGATTGAATTTTGACATTAAATTGCATTTTTTGTTTTCTGTGGTTTAATTTTCATTTTAATTATTTTAAAAAAAAAACCCTCTTTTTTACTCTCATAATTAATTTGTGGCTGATGAGTATCTTACGAGCATTATTCTAGCATTATTCTAGTAAATTTCTACTTCACAATTTGTAGGATTGCTGTTTTGGATGATTTGATGATCGAAATTAAATTATGCAATCTTGCTGTTTTTGAATCATTTTATGATCATGCGTGCATAAAAAAAATTGATTTAATCATAGATCTAGCATTAAAAATTGGTGATAATGTATTGTAGTATACATTGATTTATGCATTTTTTGAGTTTTGATTGAAATGTGAAGTGAATAATGAGGTAATTATTAATTTTCATGCTATATCAGTATGTTTGGGTGATTTTTGATCATTGATTGACTGGGAACTGTAATGTAGAGAAGTTGAGATCTTGAATTTGGTAATGTTTCAACTGAAGGTTCTCTTTTGTCGTGATTGTTGTCGTTATTTCTGAAAATAAAACTTGTGATTTCTATTTTAGTATAGGTCTTTATATTGCTAATTACTTCTTTTTCTGTGCTAATACCTTTAGTTGTGATTTTTTTGGCGAAATTTGGTATTTGGATTTCTTGATCATTTGATATTAGGGTGATCATGTACTCTTATCTCTATAACTTTGCGAAAGGGTGGGAAAGGAACTTTACCTTGCTTGGGCAGGATGGTATGTATGAAGTATTTGACAAACAAGTGTGCTTAGAAAAAGATGATGAATTTGTATGGAGTTGCTGATATTTTAATGGTGCTGTATTTTTTTCAGGGTTTGTGTGTGGACTGCCCTCATGTTTATCTTTCTTTTGATACTCAATGTTGCCACGATCATTAAACGGTTTACAAGGGTTGTTAAGGAGCTCTTTGGGATGTTGATTACTATTCTTTTCTTCCAAGAAGCTATCAAAGTACTACTCTTAACTACATACGAATCTTGTTTGGTGTTGAAACATTCTGCATTAGTACCCTAAAATTTGTGCTTATTATATTTTGCTTACATGTATGTAATAATTATTGTAAGGAGTAGTAAGTGAATTTCGTATTACCAAAGATGAGGAAGATTGTTACCATGGGAATTTATCCTCATTGATGCTGTTGTTCCTGCTTCTATGCTGCTGTTGGTCTGTTAGGTGCTGAACTGTTCTGTGCATGCTGCTATACTAATTGTAATGGCTTTATTTATTTATTATTTTTTTTGTATGAAAATGTAATATAACAAGCATTTATTAATAAAAATATCTAAGTTTATATATGTATATTGGTTTGCCGAAAAAAAATATAATATTTTTTTAAGGCATAAATGGGCAGCGGTTTTGGCATTGAATCACTGGCCATTCTAAAAAAAAATGGACAATAACGAACCTTTGAATGTTTTAAAATGTTTTAGAATTAGTACAATCTTATTTTTTTTGGTAATTCTTTAAGTCAACTAGCCCTAACAATTAGTACAATCTTATTTATTTTTTGGTAATTCTTTCATTATCTATTTTTTAGTCTACAAATATTCAAGCCCCAACTCCACCAACACAGATTGTGAGGGATATCAAACAATGTACTCTTTCAGTCAAGAGTACCCACTCTTAAGCCAACAAAGTCAAAGTCATACAAATTTTATCTCAAGTCAAGCACTGTAGGTAATTTTACAAAGATATATATATATATACACTTCAATTAACAAAATGCAATTCATTCATTCATCAATAGCATGTATGCTAATTAAGATTACTTAATCATATTACAATACCTCGCAAGATCTAGGAGAACGAGAAAGTAGTAGCATCAAGGTAAACTGATTTAAATTGTTGTTCAAATTTTTTCATTACATCATTTCCTATAAACTTACCAACAAACACCTACACACACAACACAATCAACTTCCACAAATTATATTTTACCCCGAAGTTCACTCTAGAAGCCTTTCTCATCTTCAGCAGCAAGTAATCACTCTCTATTTTCCTTATATGTTGCTTAGATTGCCTCAGTTCCTTACTCATAGTCATAACATCATTATTTAGTTCCCGTTTATCTTGCATTAAGCCTAAAATTACCTCAGTCTAGCTGCCAATTATAGGATCGATCTTCTTGGTCATCCCATCTAAAGTAATTGGAGCCCCTTCTTCCTGTGTCTGTATCATAATCAGGGCAAGCAAGGAACCTCCTTCCACGGTTATCCTTTGTCCATGCCCTGCTTTTAGACACTAATAGACTACTATTACATCTCTTTGACCTTGCACTCACCCCTGAACCGATCCTAGACATTCCTAATTTCTGTTTAAAACAATGATTTTTTTTCAACACAACTAATTTTTTTGAGCAATATTGTTCCTTGCAGAAATGGTGTATCTGTTTGCGTTGAATTGTAGAAATATGATATGGAGCCAAATATATATAACATGCTACTTTTTTTTTGGAACTCAGACGGCTAGTTGTAACTGCCATCTCTTGAACAAATTGAAAGTTTAGTACCCTTGCATTACATTAGTCAGATATTTTAATTTCGTATTATTTTTTATTTATTTTTTATTTTTTTTATGTTAAACCGGTTGCTGAAGGTCACAAAGTTCAGTACTCTATTAGGAGTACTCTAACTGTAACAATTCATACTTCATTACCTTCCCTGCAACTTTGTGCAAAGTTTAGTACTCAATTGTGGTGTTAACTCCTTATTCTCCCTTCAACTTGCCGGCACCACCCAAGGTAACTCCTTCATTCGTTTTTTGTTATAATTAAAAATTTGTGGAGTAAACATTATAATTTGTTTATTATTTATTTTGTTTGAATAATGTAGATTAACATTCAAATTGGAGTTTGCTTAGCATAAATTTGGTCCTTTCTAAGGTTAGTTGTTCAACCTTGTAGTGTATGTTGCATAATTTCAACTAGTTAAAATTGCATGTACTTATTTATTGTGGATTGTGTTTGAATTTGTAATTGTTAACTTTCAAATTGTCGTTTTTATTTTTTATTTTTTATTTTTGTAGTATGAAATATGTTTCACTTTTTAATTCATTAATATGGTATGTGTCTTTATAGTTTATGTACATTATTGTTAAATTTATTAGGTTATTCATTAATGAATATAAATATTAAAATATTTATAAAAGGTATGCATTTTAATAAATATAAATATAAATAAATGATCATATCATAATTGATAATCTATCATATTTTTTAAATTTGTAAATGAAATTATTTGCATCATCATATGCCTAGATACACGTTCAAGGCATATTCATTGGGACTATTCTTGCCTTACTTTAATCTCACTTAGGTGGTTAATGTATGTTGTTTTTGCCCTACTTTAATCTCACTTAAGAGTATGACTTGGATGGTGTAACACCCTAGAATTTCCTTCCTTTAAAATATCTGTTTTGCCCTTTTTAAAATACAAAATAGGAAAAATATAAGGCATTACCGCCAACGTGATAATGGCTAAGACATTTATCAAAGACACACAATAAAAGACTCTTTTTAAAAGCTTTCAAAACAAAGTCAAAGTCCGACAGTCCAACCAAACAAAAGTAAAGTCAAAGTCAAACGAAATCAAACCTACAACTTCAGACCATTGTAAAACCAAAGGTATTTAAAACCAACGCGTTAGTATCATCAATCAATAACAATATACCAAAAAACAATAATAATCATATATTCGAAATAAAACTAGAACAAGATTCGCTCTTCGCTCAAACCCCAACATGAATCTGTCGCATCACCTGAAAAACTTCTCTTTAAACTGGCCCTACTACTCACCATAAAAAATGGGTTGTCGTAGGGCCAAGATAAAGACAAGGCCAAAGGCACACACACAAAACAACAACAATAACAATAACAACAAAACATAAAAGGAAACACACTAGCATGATAGCATCCTTGCAATAACAACAAAACTTACCTTTCCTTAGATTTCAACATACAATAATATACACAACATAGACTCATTACTTTATTTTTATTTACTTTGATTACGCATCGAGCGGGTTTCCAACCAATTCCTTGCCCTTAAGAATTGGTTAAACTACTCCGGGAGCTAACCGGGTAGGCATAGATGTCACATGAAAGTGACGGATGTCTTGCGCATAAAATAATAAAAAGAAAAATACAGCATGTATCCAAGTAGAAGCTATAGTTAAATATAAAACCCCATAACTCCCCCCATATGTCCACACTCGAGTTATATACGTTTCAGGAGTTTTGGTGCGTAATCTCTTTCAATTTATATTGTTTACATATTTTAGACTTGGTGATGACTCTCAATCCACAACACAACCAATCAACATAAATCATTCAAGTAATCAAACATTCCAATTTAATTATTGAATATTTAATGATTACATTTAATTTAATGTTGAACCCTTTTTAAACTACCTCGGTGTAGAAACACCTTAAGCGCATAAAGCACTGCAAATCCTATCCCTCGGTGTTTAGAACACCTTAAGTGCACTTAGGCACCACAATACATTTTAATCCTGTGTACTAAGACACTTAGTAGCTCAATTCTCATGCTTATAGCATCAATAAAAATTATATGAACCATA